TGACCCCAAATGCCTCCTCCCAGTATCTGAGTCTGACTTCCTAGGTCACGTACTCTGTCTATGCACTAATCCCAGATGCCTCCTTCCTGTATCCAGTCCTAGCCTCCTATGTCACTCCCTCTTCCTTGGTGTGCTAAACTCAGATAGCCCCTTCTGGTATCTGACCCTACAATCATTGGCTAGTAAGCGGGCTGCGGAGGAGGGGCTAAGTAGGTACTTAGGAACGAGTGTGGTCAGATCACACGCTCTCTCTTGGCTCCTGCTCTGTTGCTCTGGCCTTGCTGCTTGGGCTTGCTGTGATGGCTTGCTGTGATGGCCTCTGAATAAAGCTCTGGTGTTGACGCCTCCCGATGGCTCGTCTCTGAGGACCGAAGACTCGGAAGTGAGTATGACTCTGGCAGCCTGCTCCTTATAGAAGGAGAGGGTACGGCGCGCGGCCGGCAGAAGGTCGGCGCGGCCGGTACAGTGAGGTTCAAGCATTGCCCTCTGCCACTCCCATTTTCCCATTCACTATAAAAGCTCCTGGGGCAGCTAGGTGGTGCAGTGGATAGAGCACCAGCCGTGAAAGTCAGAAGGACCTGAGTTCAAATCCAGCCTCAGACCAAACACTTGACACTTACTAGCTGTGTGACCCTGGGCAAGTCACTTAACCCCAACTGCCTAAGCAATAATAAATAAATAAATAAATAAATAAAAGCTCTTCATTGTGTGCCTCCTTTACATGAGAAAATTTGCCCCATTCTACCTCTCCCTTTCCCCCTTCTCCTCAGGGCATCCCTCTTTCTCTGCCCCGCATTCTTTGTTTTGGAGATCATCCCAACATAGTCGACTCACACCCAAGCCCTCTGTCTATGCAGACACCTTCTGACTGCCCTAAGAATGATAAAGCTCTTAGGAATTACAACTATCATCTTCTCACATAGGAATGTAAACAGTTCAATTCCATTGAGTCCCTTAAGATTACTCTTTCGTGTTTACCTTTTTATGCTTCTTTTGAGTCTTCTATTTGAATATCATTTTCTATTCACTTCTGGTCTTTTCATCAGGAATGCTTGGAAGTCCCCTATTGCACTAAATATCCATTTCTGCCTCCCCCCCCCCAAGATTTATACTCAGTTTTGCTGGGTAGATCATTCTGCGTTCGAGTTTTCAGCGCTTCCAAGGTGGTATGATACAGGAAGAGGTGTGATCCCTGCTCTCCTGGTCTGCACTCCGGCATTTACCCAGGAAGGGCCCCAGCTCCTCTGCAGCCACAACTACCTGTGCTCCTCTTGGCCCTGGAACTCTAACCAGGTTCTCTATTTCCTTGCTGCTGTGAATGCTAGCTCTCCTCTTGGTCTTGGACCTGTGACCAGGGCCTCTGCTCCCTTGTGACCAATCACAATCCCTCGTCTCCTCCCTGGAATTGTGACCCAGAACTGCTTATGGGCAGTAGAGTTGCCAATCAATGCCAGCTACACCCAGTGCCAGCAAAGGGTTCCTCATTATCTCTTTCTGACCAGTTGTTCGACCCGCTTACTGTCTCTGGGCCCAGGAGTGTTTCCTCTGAATTAGAGGCCATTTCTTATAAATTACGTGAGATCAGCACAAGGTTTCACAGAGGCCAGACCCATTGAGAAGCCCAAGGGGATGTTTTTCAGAAGAATCCTCAGCAGTGTCTCTAGAAGGAAAAAAAGTTCAGTAAATTATAGGTTGTTGGGAAGAACTTTCTGGTCCAAATCCTTAATTTTACACAGAAGGAAACTAGGTCTAAAAAGTGAAATAGATATATCCCGGGTCACATGATAAAGAAATCACAGAAGCGAGACCAAGACCCAAATTTCTTGCCTAGTTCCAATTTTAGGATGATTAATCTAATCATTGTGTGCAGGGATAGATTTGAGAATAATTCTGTCTTAATCTTATCAGAGCTCAGGGGACTGGGAAGGCAGATACAGAATACAGAAGGGCAAAGAGAAGGATGATTTGGGGGCTCAGAGATACAATCTAAGAGTCTGAGAGAAGTAACGGAGGCAGAGAGGCCGGAGACAGAGCATTTGGTGAATCAGGAGCCTAAGGACCTGAGTTCAAATTCATGATCCAGCACTTCCTAGCTTAGCTACATGGCTTAGTTTCTTCTTTGGTAAAGTGGGGGTGGTGAGGAAAGTGCTACGTGTTTTGTCAATTTTGTACCCCAGAAATGTTCGTTGTTACTAAACAGCGAGTGCCCAGCTTTCCAAAGCCGCAGTGTTCTTTCTGGCAAGGTCAATGAGGAACTCTGGGAATTCCTGCTCAACATGGTCAGGGATTAAAAGGAAGGAGACTACAGTTATCCCTTCCACATTGTGACTTTACCCATCGCGGTTCTGATATATCACGGGTCAGCGTAAGAAACTAAATGGGAATTTCGGGGGAGTTTTGTGGAAGCCGCAACTGATACAGAGAAGGTTTGGAAACTTAGAAATGCATAAAATATGTGTTGTATAACATCAATATATTTTATCTTTTAACACCATAATAATTCCGACTTCTCTGGTAGGAAGGAAGGGCCAAAACATTTTATGTGGATTTTCTAGTAGGTGGAGGCGCCACACCCCTAACCCCTGCCATGTGGAAGGGATAACTATCATCTGTGTCCTTGTGGTGGATGGGCTAAGTCTCTTCTCATTATAATAAAGATAATAATAATAGCTAAGTCACTTAACCCTGATTACCTCCCCCTCAATAAATAATAACAATAGTAATAATATCTATCATTTATAATAGCACTTTGTCAAGCACTTTTCATATACTGTCCTCACAACAACCCTCTAAAGCAGGTGCTGTTATTATCCCTATTTTACAGAGGAGGAAACTGAGGCAAACAATGAGTAAGTGACTTATCCAGGGTCACACAATAAGTATCTGAGACAGAATTTGAACTCTTCTTGAATTCAAGTCCCCGTGCTCTAACTGTCCGGGTCCTCTAAATGACTCATCTCCCCCTACCTCGATCCTCACCCCACCTGTCTTATTTCCACTGACTGTCTACCTTGAGCAAGCAACCCCCTGATCTGGGTTCATATCCTGCCTTTGTCACTACCTAGGCAACATAGAGCCTCTCTGGGCCTCAGTTTCCTCATCTGTAAAGTGAGGGAATTGGACTAGATGCCTTCTAAAATCCAGTCCAACTTTGTTTTTTTCATAATTAATTTATTTATTTTTAGTTTTTAACATTCGCTTCCGTAAGATTTTGAGTTTTACATTTTCTCCCCCTCTCACTCTTCTCCCCCACCAAGATGGCGTGCAATCTGATATAGGCTCTACTTATACATTCATATTAAGCACATTTTCCCGTTAGTCATGATGTAAAGAACAATTAGAACTCATGGGAGGAACCACGAGAATGAAGCGTTAAAACAAAACAACAAAGGGAAAGGAGAGCAGATAGTTCGCTTCCATCTGCATTCAGACTCCATGGTTCTATGTCCGGATGTAGATACCATTTTCCAAGGTGAGTCTTTTGGACTTGTCTTAGATCCTTGCATCGCTGTGAAGAGCCCAGGCTATCAAAGTCAGTCATTGCACAATGTGGCTGTTACTGTCGGTCCAACTTTAATCTGTGATTCCGTGACTTCCTCTTCCCCCTACACCTGCCGATCCTGCCACATTTCCTCTCTGGGTCAGTGACACCACCACTCTGCCCCACCCAGGCCCTAAACTTCTCCCTCAACCTCCGTATCCAATTAGTTTTCAAAAAACAGTCATTAAGTTCCTCCTCTCTTCCAGACACTGTTCTAAGTTCTGGAGGTAAAGACAAAAATGAAGCTGCCTCTGACCTCAAGGAACATGCATTCTGAGTGTATATTAAATAAATAGCAAATAAAGACCCTGGCGTTCAGGGGAGAGGGGCACCGGCCGTGGGAGTCAAGTCCTCCACGTCTCTGACCTCTGTCCGTCTTCTCCTTTAGCTCAGCCGCCACCCCAGCATGGCACCTCATTGCCGGGACTGTTACCTAGCTTTCTAACCGATGTCTCTGCTTCCAGTCTCTTTGAGCAGTTTATATTTGTACTAATGCAGAATTGTCATCGTTATTATGAACTTGAAAAATGGTGTACTCTCTCTTATAAATCTGTGTGGAGTTAAGCCTTCTACTTAGACCACCCAACCCTCCACGTTTGCCTCTGATTATTAATGTTCCCAGGACAACGTCCCTCCACTCCTGGGCACTTTCTAGATCTAGAGAACCCTGGTCAAAGGGAGGAAACAAGCAATTATGAAGTGACTGATATGTGGCGGACCCTATGGCTAGCACCTCACAAGTATTACCTTATTTGATCTTCACAACAACAGCCCTGGGAGGTAGGTGCTTGTGAGGAAACTGAGGCAGACTGAGGTTAAGTTACTTCGCCAGGATCAGGAGGCTACTAATTTTCTGAGACTGGATTTGAACTTAGGTATCAGGCCCAGCCCTCTATCCACCACACCTCCAGAGCAGGTGATCCTGCCATGAGCTCACTCAGTATCAGAACTCTAAGGAGACACGTTGTTCCCCTGCCCTAAAGAGCTGTGGTGATCATGGGCTATGAGAACTGTGGTTTCCTACAGGGTGGAGTTAAATATTGTGTGTTTTCATTTTGTGGAAGAAACAAAAGAATTTGAGTATGTTGGGTGGTGAGGAGGGTTGTTTTGAAAGGAGACATCAGAGAGCAATGGCAGACCTACCTGGATTTGTCTGAGTGAAACAGAGCTGATCTGACTGGTTCTCTCTCTGTCTGTCTGTCTCTCTGTCTTTGTCTCTCCCTCCCTGTCTCCCTCTCCCTCCATCCCTCTCTCTCTCTCTCTCTCTCTGTCCTTTCCTTTCTTTCTCTCTCTCTCACTTTCTCTCTCTCTCCCCTCTTCTCTCTCTCTCTTCTCTCTCTCTCTCTCTCTCTCCCCTCTCTTCTCTCTCTTCTCTCTCTCTCTCTCTCCTTCTCTCCCTCCCTCTCCTCCCATTCTCTCTTTACTTTCTTTTCTCTTATTCTCTTCTTCCTTTCTGCAGAGACCTTTGGAAAAACCAGATGGCCTGGATGTCTCTGATCAAAGCAAAGAGCATCCCCAGCACCTGTGTGAGAAGTGCAAAGTCTTGGGCTACTACTGCCGGCGAGTGCAATAAAACCTCCCCGTGATGGCGGGCCTTCCCAGCGCCCCTCAACCCGCAAAGCTTCTGGCGGCAGAGCATCATGTCCCCTACCCAATCTGCGAGAGTCCTGACACAAGTGCAACCTCTGGGAAGAAAAGAAAAGACGTCACCAGTTATCACCCATCTATAAAGGAGTAACATGCCTTACCGTTAACAGAATGTAACACTTGTTTGCGTGTGTGTGTGTGTGTGTGTGTCTGTGTCTGTGTCTGTGTTTTTCCTTCCTGTGTGTGTGTCTGTGCACGCCTGTTCACATGCAAGACGTATTTATAGGAATCTAAGTTTTTGTCTAGTGTTTAGGACACACAGTGTTACTGAAAGTGTTCCTGATGGGACCGCCACCAGGCCAGGTGAGGGAGACAAGGGATGGGGGCTGTCCCATTAATTGTTTACACGGTTTTTTCCAATGTCCTGGCCAAGAGAGGCAAAGGATTGGACCCTTGGTCCTTTTGGATATGAGGAAGAGCTGAGTAGGAGGCTCAGGGACATTGGGGGGGTCAGTGAGTGTGGCCAAACCTCCAGACCCATCCAACTTTCTGGGGTCAGCTGAGATGAGCTGAAGGCTTGACTTCTGCCAGTTATGGGGGTGAGGGATGGTGGGAGAAGGCATCTTTGTCTCTTCTGCCGGGCCTCTACTGCCACTGCCTTCCACTCACCCCCGACAGGGCATGAACACGTGGTTCTTTTCTCAGGTTTCTCCCTGTCCATTGGCCCCCTCTGGGTGTCCAGTTCAGCATTAGGCCATAAACGCACTAAATTTACTGTGAATAACAGGGAAACTGAAGGTATCCTTTTTCTCCCCAAGCCTGGACAGATACCCTGACTTTATAATCATGTGAAAAGCCACTTTTATGGGAAAAAAAATTGTATATCTTATTTTCTATTCAATAGATGAGCTATTAATACAAGAAAACATTTACCCACATGTAGCAGAAGGGAATGAGGGAAGTAGGAGAAAGCTCTGACAGGTGGAGTCCACACCTGCTCCCCAAATACTCCTTTTCTTCCCGCCTCCAACCCTGAAACTCCCCGATATGTTGCCAGTGTGCATTTAGGGTTGGGAAAGGGGCAGCTCCCTGTCCAGAGGGAGAAGGCGAGGAAGGGAGAGTCGAAAACTATAGCAAAAACACCAACCAAGTACCTTAAAGTATCAGGTGAGCTCTTGGGTAGCCAGGCTTTGATTGGCGATTGGCCCGCAGCTGGTCCGGCCATCGTTCCTCTTCCTTTGGACTTTTTTTTTTTCTTCTAATCTCTGCTCCCTTTCAGTCCTCTGTCCTCATCATTTCCCTCTGTGGAATGCCCCAGGGAGGGAGTGTCCGTAGCACTAAATCACAGCCCATCATTCAAACAGATTTTTTGAGATTCTAACAGCCTCTGAAGGAGTTGCTTCCCAGCCCAAACAGCCAGAGGCTCTGTCCTCTGGAAATGAAAGCAGGGCAGGGAGAGGGACAATATAAAACTTCAAAGAGTTTACCCTTAGGTCCTTAAGAATGACTGACCAGGGAACTGATCCCCTGCCCACACCTGCTTTTCCTTCCTCAATGGGTCCTTTCTAAGAAGAAAGTCAGGCTTTTGGTGGCTGTGATTTTTCCCTCTCATCGATGTCCTTTGGAGAGCCCATGACAAAGAGATTAGGATGAAGCGCTCTAGTCCTTCATCACCGTCACGTCCCTTTCCCTCCATCCCTCCCCCTCTCATGGCTCTTCCAGTGTTGTCTGGTAACCCTGACATACCACTGTGCCTCTCTCTGTGCCATAGGCTTCCCTCTCTGTAAATGGGAACGGTGGTTTTCCTACTTCCCAGGAGAGCAGAGAAGCCTTGCAAATGAACACTAGTCAGGCATCCGGCTGTCTTGGAGACAGCCGGTGCACGCTTTCCCTTGGGGCAACGAAACTGTATTTATATTCTATGATTTTCTTTCTTGGTGATGGCCATATATTCAGAATTAGCTCACTCGGTTTGCCCCTGGGCATTCAGCCTTTGCTGAAGAACAAAACCAATCAGACCAAGGAATGAGACTGAAAACTCTGTGTTTACCACGGGTAGTGGCTCACCCAGATTAGGCCTGAAAAGAATCTGTTTTCAAGTAGAAATGCATTTGTAGCTGGCTGACAGGTTACAGTTAGGTGTTTAACTGGGGAGCCAGGTCACGAGAGAGGGTGTGTGTATGCATGCAGCAAGGAGGAGGAGCAGGTTAGACTGAAGGTCGTGGATGCCCCTTGAGCACTTAATAAAATATTAGCAACAGCCTGGTGGTGGGAGTGGCTGACTTGGAGTAGGAAAGACTTAGGTTCGAATCTCACCTCAGACACTTACTAGCTGAGAGACACTGGGCAAGTCACTTAACCTCTGTTTGACTCAGTTTCCTCATCTGTAAAAGAGGGATAATAATAACATCGACCTCACGGGGTTGCTGTGAGGAGCAAATGAGATAATGTATGGGAAGTGCTTTGCAAACTTTAAAGTGTTATATAAAGGCTAGCTGTTACTATAACGACCTCTCCTTCCCCTGTCCCCACCCCTCTCCAGTAGGGGAAGAAAGATAGGGCCCTCCCGCTCCCCTCCCCTCCAGATGGAGACAACCACTTAGAGAAGTCCTACAAACAATTTTCCAGAAGGTCCTGGCATGGTGGTGGTCATGGCCTTTGTCCTTGCCGTTTTCTGACTGAGAAAGGGAAGCTATTACCATTCATCATGATTATAATAACCGTAAGAATAATATTATCAATAATAATAATGGTGGAGGGAAGTGTGGCCTTTCTGGACCATTAGAACCCAACTCTGTGTTCTCATCCCAAGGGTTCACAAAGACCTGTCTCCATAGGATGGTTCCTGAACAAAACCCAAGCCTTTCAGATCCTCTTAATTTCACTTGAAATGCAAAGAAGCCCACAAGCAGAAGACTTTTCTTGCTATCTGCCCACCCTGTAGGATAGATTCTATAAGCTATTGTATAAAGTAAGGCAGAGGGGAGACAGAATTCCCTCTCCAAAGCTAATTTTCCTGGTCTCTATCACCAGCCTAGCTATTGGGAAGCCTGAAATTGCCAAGATGGTGATAGGAGAAAACAGTTCATAGTGACAGCCAGGGTCAAGTGGTACTCTGCCCAGTACTCCTGCTCTCCCAGCAGGAAGACTGCCACAAATGCCCAGTCGGTGACCACAGCTAACCATTAAGCCAATCAATTTGTGATTTTTTTTTTTGGTTGGCCAAAACATCCTTTTATGCCCTTCCCCCATCTCCACTTTGCCTTTGGCCTGTATGAAATATCAGCATGTATTTGTTTTCTCTCAGCTATATATACCACTGCTGTCCAAGGGCTGGTGCTACACAGTTTGAGTGCTCAAGGGGCCCGAAGGGTCCTGGGTGACTTGAGGAAGGATTGTGGTTTTATGAAGATATTGAAAAGGGACAATCGTATGCAGTTCATAGACGCTATTGAGTGATCATTAATGTTTACCCCTGTATGAAGTATTCTACAGTTCTCTTGGCAGATCTGTATTTATCTTGAGTTATACTTGACATAGAAATCCTTTGGGTTTTTTTTAATACTATGTGTGTATTTTGGAAAACTTTGTAGATGTTAAATTTTCTGAAGGGTTACAAATATTTCTCGTAATACTGAACTCGTTATCTTATTCTCCAGAAACTCTTTGCAATTTTTGTCTGTATATATTTGAGGGCCTTAAAAAAAAAAAAGGGAAAAAGGGAGAAGAAAAGAAAAAAGGAATGGCTTGCTTTTTATTATTGTTGAGTTTTTAAAAAGAGGCATCTTCACAATTTTAAACTGTTCAGAAGGGCCTGGTTCTCCAATTCAACACAACCAAGCGAAGAGTTTTCTTAAATATTCTGCAAAACTCAGAGTGTATCCTCAAGAAAATATTTATGATGGGAAATTGTCTCTTTTTTTTTTTCAATTTTTTTTACAATGCTTTTTGTCTGTATAAAGTATGCAACCGAACTACATTGAGAAGGAAATATTGTCTACATAGAATATTATATGAAAGTTGGTACATAATTCTGATGAGAAGAATCCTTGCAATTCTTTAAGCCATATTGTTGTTTTATGTTTTCCTTGGATGAAAATATCAGTATTAATAACCAATATATTATTCAAGTGTTTAGACCTATTAATATGCTTATGCAGTTTATTTATATGTGTATTTTGGGAAGTATTACCTTTTAAGGAAAGCTATAATTAGATTTGCTAGCAAGAAAGGAAACCGAGAATATTTTATTCTTCTTTACTTTATGACCAGACTCAAGATCCCGGTTCCTGGAGGGAAGCCCAGCTCCTGGACATTTGGGATTACCCATACCCTGTCCTGTAATATAATTATAATCTATTCTCTCTCTCATTTTCTTAAACTTTTTATTTTTAATTTTGATAGGGGGGTTGGGGAAGGAGGGAGTATCTGGTGAGGGCCTCTGTTTGACAAACTTGTCTCACATGACCATTTGCCAGCCCTCAAGACAAACCATGGTTCTGACTGTTCTCCTAATGGGAACAGGACAGTCCATGGGATGACCTCTAGGAAGAGGTCTGCCAAGGGAGGAGAATGGATGAAGAAAATTTCCAGATCCTCGGGTGCCCCTTATCGTGGGATTTGCGTAATCCTACCTTGGTGCCTTGCACAGGGTCTAATTCTGTAACAGATTTCATTATGGTTGTCATTCTGAATGGAAGCCCTCACCCCAACCCTCCGCTAGAGTCCAGTTTTACACTAAATGAATATTTAATCCAACAATCACTACATTTTATACTAGAAAGACAACTAACACAGTAGTTTATGAGTTCTTAGTGCTTTAAGAAAGTTAACCTAATGATTAGTCTTGGGGTTATTGAGGTGGGGAAGGGGCTTTCTGTCTCTCTTGTCATCTGTTACCCACTGATTTTTGTCAGCCTCAGTTGCCTTCATGTATCGAGTCCCTGTTGCATGTCTGTATCTGTTAATATGTGTGTATACAGCTAAAAGACAAACAAGACCTTAGGACGAAGGCTTAGAGGGTGCACGAAGGAGGTGGCCCAGTCTGCCCTGACCTCTCAGCCAAAGTGTCCATAGGTTGGCATTCCAGCGTGTGCCTTATCTCCTGGATACTACGTATTACAGCTTCCCTATAGAATCATAGCCTTTTCATGCTGTATTAAAAAAAATTCTTTTAAAAAAACAGAGAGTCTTGAATGTCATTGTTGGTGATGAATGTCCACTAGGGGTATTGGGGAAGTGGTGAGTGAGGTCCAGAAGTCAACCAGAAGTCAAAGAGGGTTCCAAGAATCCTGGGAATGAGTAGGGTGTCATCCTCTCCCCCTGCCTCACTGCCATTTCCTATACAACCCCTCTGCCATCCATCCTGGCCCAATTGGAAACTGTCTTCAAACTAGCTTCCCTTCCTGAATCAGTACCCAAGACTGATATGGATTGTTGGCTGATTAGGTCACAAATTAGCTCAGCCATTAAGACTCCTCCATCACCGTATATAGAAGTGATTCCTCACAGAGACTCTGGAAGTTCTTCACTTGCTAAATAGCTTGAACCTCTGAATAAGGCCAAGTCTTTCATCCTGGGTGCATCATGTATTTCCAAGACAGCAAGGTGAATGATTGGAGGCCATGGAAAAGAGTTTGGAGACATGACAAATAAAAAGGGAGTCTGGTGGAGGAAAGTAGAGTTTGTTAGTAATGCAAGATTTGGGGAAAGACCATATTTTCCCCTTAAGGTTTCTTATTATAGACCAAAGGTGCAGAAAGATATAACTGACCAGAAGAGAAAAAGATATCAATCAGGGGTCACCTTCATGAAAATCAACTTAATTAACAGTGAGTTTTTTTTAAGAGAAACATAAAATATGCCACTCGTCTGCTTTGTTAATTCAAAAACACTAAATAAACATGACCTATTATTATTGTTTTTATAAAGTAAGAACTGGAAGCACAAAACTGTACCCACTAAATACAAGAAAGAGAAAGTTAGGGAAGGGGAGAGGGGCAAGTAAAGATGTAGAAAGAAGAGAAAAAGATATCAAAGAAATAAAAAAAATAAATCAACAAAAAAAACCAGATACTGTCATGGAATTATTTCCACATCTTTGTGACCTTATACATATTATGGCTAAAGACTTGAAACCAAGCTGCATTTCTGCACCTATAGCCTTGAATAAGGGTATCATCACTTAAGTTTGAGGAAATCACAGTCAAGGGCTGTTTAGTCTTCTCCTTAATGTAGATGTTTCATACGAACTGCACTATAATCAACACACTCATTACAGTACCCCCCCCAACAACGACAGCAACAACAAAAAGAAACAATTAGAGGACAATATAGTGGAAAGACTTGGAATCAGATGACCTAGGCTCATCTCCAATCCGTGAAAATTATTATCTACGTGTCCTCAACAACATGTATTTGCTTCTTTCTGTAGGATGAGGGCATTGGACCCAAAATCCCACTCAATTTAATTAAACAAACATTTTTAAGTACATATAAGACGCTGCTAAACACTGGGGATACAAAGGCAAAAATCCAGCAGTCCCTGCCTTCAAGAGGCTTACATTCTATTGGAAGGATATAACAAAAACACACATAAGTAAACACAGCATATCCAAAATAATATGAAATAATTTCAAGAGGAAGAAAGCAATAACAACTTGGGGTGGGAAGGGTCAGGAAAAACCTCAAATAGGAGATGGCAATTATTATGCTTCAGAGAATGCTAGGGATTATAAATAATGGAAATGAGGAGGAAAAAAAGCATTCTAGGCATGGAGAGTCATCTGGGCAAAGGTACTGAAATAGACTATCAAATTCAAAGTATGGGGAACAGTTTGACTGGAATGGTAAGTACCTGAAGAGTAGTAATAGTAGTAGTAGTAGTAGGAGTAGGAGTAGTAGTAGTAGTAGTAGTAGTAGTGTAGTAGTGTAATAACATTATAGTAATAGTGTAATAGTAGTAGTAGTAATATTACTACTGGAATTTAATGGAATGGTAAATGAACAAAGAGAAGTAGTAGTAATGGTAGTAGTTCTAATAGTAGTAGTAATATTACTACTGGAATTTACTGGAATGGTTAATACATGAAGGGAAGGAGGAGTAGTGGTACTAATGATAGTAGTAATAGTAATAGTACTACTAGTAGTAGTAGTTCTAATTGTAGTAGTGGTAGTGATAGTAATAGTAGTAGTAGTTATGGGGATTAAAATTGTCCAACCTACAATAAAAGAAACTGAGACAAAGCTCTGAGCCAATGGCACTTTATTAAAGAGTCCATAGACCCCTCTAATGAAGTGGACCTAAGTGGACCTCAGATCTTCCTCACAATCTGAGATGCCCCCTCCTTCCAGGGCCCTATTTTTAAAGAGTTAGATATC